ATATATATATAATATATATATATATATATATATATATATATATATATATATATATATATATATATATATATATATATATATAGTATATGGTGTATATGCCTCCTCAAGTGTATTTTGCGCATATTTAAAAGCACTAAAGAAATTGTAGAGCTATTTATAATACTATTTAGGGAAGCAAAAATCACCATTATGTTTTGATGTCCTATGTATGTGGTGACTCGGTGAATTTAGTAAATGAAAAAAGTGATGTGGAAGTGGTGGACATTTTTGTGGATACTCTCCGCGATATGTTTCCTCAAGAGGTTTAATTTCTTTATTCAATAAAGATCACTGGAGTTTGCTCTAATTTTTTACGATTTTTGAATCAGTACTTCAAATATTTCGAATTTCATTCCTTCCTATGATGGTGATTTACAACTATGGACTTTCCCTAAATCTCTTTTATTTTCCTTGTCAACATTTTGTAAATTCTGCTAATTCTAGAATATCCCGGATCCAGAAGGTTATGTTGTAACGCATTGGGGCCGGGATCGTCACATCGGTATGTCATATACTTATGTTCGAGTGGGTGGTAGTGGCGATGATTATGATAGGTTGGCAGAAGATGTCGATGAAAAACTATTCTTTGCCGGAGAAGTATCATTTTTAGTAGTTTTTGGATGAAATATACGAAGAGATTCAATTATTCCTCATAAATCATATGTTCTGTAAATACAAAGCAAATATTTGAAGAATACGTATAAAAAGTTTTTGATTTTTCGTTTTTTTCTACTCATTTGTAATACTTTGTTCCAATTACTCCTACCAATTTTTTATTAAAATTTGTTCTCTTTCTATATATATATTTGACCGTATTTTCTTTCATTTGCTTTATTTGATTTGAAAGTAATGTTATAGGGAACGAATCGTTTCTTCCCGCAAACGATGACTGGTGCTTGTGTAAGTGGTCTACGTGAAGCAGGGAAAATTGCAAATAGCTGGCTAAAGCGAACGTCAAACTAGTTTTTGAAGATTAGTAGGAAATGCGCCTACAGAAAGAATTTAAAGCTGAGGATGGATGAAGGGTTTGGAGGTTTAATGATGATATATGTTTAGTATTTTGATCTTATGATACGAGGTATAGCAAACCACGTTTATGAAGATTATGACATTGAAGATAATGTATTAACTTCCATACATATTTTTTTACGTGATTGAAGTAGTGACCCAAGGTCGGGAGTAAGATAAAAATGACTGTGTCTCTTTTCCAGTATGTTTTTAATGCAGATCAAAATATTGCTGTGAGTTTTGTATTGATATGTTTGGCAACTTGTGAAGTAAATTAATGAATGAGGGATTTGAAAAGATACATAGAGGATTGGGTAGGTTTTCATTTCCCTTTTTCCCACTGATGCAATGTACTATTTAGATACTTTGTTGTTTTATTCTGGGTTTTAGTTTATGTTTCGAAATTTTTCCGTGAATTAGCTTTTCTTTTGATCTCTGCTATGTCTTCATTTTATTTTTCATTTGTGGAAGCAATTCTGCAAGCTTGAATTGAAAATTTTGTTTGGAAGTATATCGAAAAAAAAAAACAAGCGCGTATTTAGGTAAATATCTGCCGTAAGATATTTGAGCATCTAAATGACCTTCAATTTTTGTTATCTGAGAAGATCCTTCTTATTAGGATATTTATAATGCATTAGATATTTTTAATTATTATAGACATAAAGTGGAAAAATGTCATATTGTGCAGGAGCTAGTCTTAAAACCTGGGTTTGTACTCGTAAACTTTCATCTATTAATTTTCTTATATTCCTAGTGCAGAAAACGAGTGTACATTTACTAGTCAATTGTTACATAACAAAGAGAGAATATGTTTCTTTAGAATGAAATTTAACTTCAAGTATCACATTTCTTTAATTTCCGTATATTTTCTTGGCTTATTTCATCAGAAAGATACTTCGGGACTTTCATTTTCTGTGCCTCCTATGTTAATATGATACGATCACATCCTGATCACAATCATTTTAAGCCAATCTTCTCCAACTTTTCACTTTTCTGAGTCATTTCATTTCAAAGTATATACATATATATATATATATATACATATATATATATATATATATATATATATATATATATATATATATATATATATATATATATATATATATATATATAT